TGGGCGAACGGGCTGCTGGCCTAGATTGGCCATTGTCCCGATCCAGGCGGGCACGGGTTATGCCCTTCTGAATGACGGCATTGGGGTTTCTTCAAGAGCCTCTGGAACAGTTTTCTCAGGGTTGCTAGCACCACTAACAACAACAAAAGCTGAAAAGCACCTTGAGAAGCACCGAGGGTGCAGCTGGGCTTCTAGTATTGAGAGCAAGGGGTCCTTCTGGTCCCCCTCGACAAAAATCCTGTGTTGTTTTCAAAGGTCACAGCCAAGGTGGGCAGGCACCCCAAAGGGAGCCCAGCAGGGGGCAGCCTGGCGGGGCCTTCAGTCACTTCTGGGGCCAGGCTTTTGCTGTCACCGCCTCTGCCAGCTTTCTGGAAGCCTCTCTGGGTCCTTGGCAAGGGCCTTTCCCTGAGGTGGGGGGCAGCTCAGGCACAGCTGTGGGGCTGAACCCAGGGCCCCTGAATGTTGCCCCTCCTCACCTTCTTGCTTGTTTAAAAAAACGGGTTTCATGAAGGCCACCAGCCAACCAAGCTGGATTACAGCTGACTTGTTTTAACCAGCTTGCTTTGGAACCCGCTTGCCTTCACCCAGCCCAGAGATGCTCCGGGCATCGCTTCTTTGCACTCGGGGCATTCCTCGCCCGCCTCCAGCCTGGCATGCTCCGGGCCCGTGCGCATCCTAGCCCGCCTTTCGGAAGGCATTAAAAGCTTGGTTCCTGCCTTAGGGTTGGGATGTTAATGGCGGCCAGTCTGTTTGGTCTGCTTGAGTAAGTTTTACGTGGTGCTTTTACTGTTTTGTCATTTGTTTCATTACGCACGAGGCTGTGTTGCTGCCCCAGCACTGGTGGCGAGATGGCCAAGCACCTAAATGTGCACAGTAAAGCCTTGGGGAGAGGCACTGGCTCTGTGGCCCGCAGGGAAGGCCAACTCCTCTTGACCACCAAGAACCTGCTCCTCTTCCTTGGAGGCCGCCCGGCTCTCTGGGAAGGGGCTGTGTGAGAGTTTGGAGCGTGATGTTTGAGGCGCTCCATCCATCTGCGCTTTCCTTCCCCAGCAGCCTGGCAGAATTTCCAGCTGGGCTCCTGGCAGGATCCTTGGTGCCTGGGGAGAGATCTCCCTGGGCTTCCAACTCCCAGCCCACGGTCAGTGACAGAGGCAAGAGGCGCATCAGCCTTGCAGGGCGGCAGGAAGGCGTCTGGACGCGGCTGAAACTCGCCAACAGGTGCAGAACTTCCAGACCGGATGAGCTCATTTAGAAACGGTGCCCTCTCAGAAAGCTCCTTGTGCGGGTGGGCAAAATTCCAGATCTCCCCTGCGGGGTTGGCAGCTGCAGCGGGAGGCGGGCTGCCTCCTCCGGCCTTCAGGCTCACAGAGCTTGAACTCACGGCTCCCTGGCGAGGGCCAATAGTTTAATCAACAAAGTTGCCTGACGCTGGTCCCCCCCCACCCAGCTGCCCAGCCAGCATCGCCACTGTGGGCAACAAGGAGCGGCTCTGAAAGTCTGGTCTCACGACTGCCCTGAGGGGGTGCTGGTGGCTGTTCTGTGCCGGGGGAGAGCAGCAAAAGAGGAATAAGGAATGTGGACCAAGAGGTTGACTTTCTCTGTAGTAGCCCACTCCCCCCCAGGTTAGTTTGTGCTTCTGAAACCTCTTTAGGAAGGCATTTGGACTGGCTCAACTACAATTATGGGTGGATTAAATATGTTAACAATATTATTATTGTGATGGCTGGTGTGGGTCTTCCGGGCTGTGTGGCCGTGTTCTGGAAGTTT